TCGTACGCCTTCTGTAGATCGATGAAACATATGTGCAGTGGTTGATTAAATTCTCTTGATCTTTTCATAACCATTTTCAATATGAATACTTGATCGATTGTAGATCTGCCAGAGCGGAAGCCTGCTTGTTCCTCTAGCAATTTTTTGTTTAGCATGTTTTGAATACGATTCAATAAGATTCGAGCGAAAATTTTTTCTGCTACGACCAGTAAAGATATACCTCTATAGTTATCGCAGATCCATTTATCACCTTTATTCTTATATAGTCGTATGAGAACCGCTACCGTCCAGTCCTTTACCATGATTTCCTGTTCCCAGACATCACGGATGATTTCATGTAACGATTCAACTAGAGGCAACCCGCCGGCTTTTATAAGTTCGGCAGATATTTCATCTTTTCCTGGAGCTCTCCTATTTTTGATTTGTTGGATTGCTTTCACAACCTCACTAAGAGTCGGTACAGCATCCTGATGAGAGAGTTCCTTTTGATCTAGTAGTGGCTTTGGGATTTTTTTGTAATATTTGTTCATCAACCACTGTATTTACGTTGAACATTTCATCGAAATATTCTCTCCACCTATTTAATCGGTCTTCACTGTTCGTTAATGTGTTTCCATCTTTAGCATGAATCGCTATGTGTTCCGTATTCATGCCGTTACCACGCAGGCGTCGTATAATTTGAAATACAGCTGTTGGGTCGTGGTCTTTCACTGCATTTTCGATGTCAACACTTATTTCTTCCCAATATTCTCGTTGTCTAGCCTCTACTTTATTTTTAACCGCCTTGGCCAGCGTTCGATAATGATTCCTATATTTATTTTCATCAATTGTGCCACTATGACGTTGCCATTGTACATAAGCTTTAGCTTTTTTGTCCACGATATCAGCTATTTCTTGTGTGAACCACTCTTTAGTATTCTTTTGGCACCTTTGATCTTTTGCAAAGTATTCTTTGCTGTGTTCACGTACATAATCAGTAAGTTGTGTAAATTTCTCGTTCACAGATAGATCTTTGTTGTCGGCCTGTGTACTATTTCGGTGTTTTAGTAATTCCGTCTGGAATTCAGCTACCAATTTTTCGTTATTCAGTTTTTCATAATCAAGCCTTAACCGACCTGTCTCAGCTGTCCTTTTGCGACATTTTAGATGCATACGGACTTTAGCTCTTAAAAGATGGTGATCCGTCCTAATGCCGCCAGTTGCGCCTCGATCAGCATGAACGTCCTGAATGCTATTTCGAAATTTACGATTAACAAGTACATGTAGTCAAGCATGTGCCATTGTTTAGTTTTCGGGTGTATCCACGTTGTTTGGTGCACTGGTTTATGAGGAAAGAATGTGTTAGTAATCACGAATCCATTGAACAGACAGAAATCAACCAGTCGACGACCCTTTTGGTTCTGCTTGTCAACTGCATGTTTACCAACTATGATCTGAGCTGAGCTAGTCTGTTCTACTCCTAGTCTAGCGTTGAAGTCACCCATAATCAATATGATATCGCCTTCATTAGTACTATCAATTGATGATTTGAGAGCTTTATAAAACTCATCACAGGCCTCAACATCAGCTTTTAAGCCATTTGAGGGATTCACTGGCGCATAGACGGCTATAACAGTAATCGGTATAGGCTGACATTTAATGCGAACAGTTACTATCCTCGAGTTGACTGATTTCCAAATGGAGCCGGAATTTCTCCAAGCACGAAATGCTTTTGGACCCAGGCACACAGCTGCTCCGTGAGCCGCTCTTGAACGTTCTTTTCCCACTGCTCCAGAGTAGATGAATGTGTATCCATTCACTACGTAAATACCGGAATCCGGTATATTGGTTTCAGCTAGTGCTGCGACCTCTATTTGGTATCTTTTTAATTGGCGAACAATAGTTCACGTTTAGTGACGACATGATAACACGATCTGACATCCCATGATCCAAAACGCGTTATGTTAGTTGTACTAACTATTTCTGTTTGTTCCTTTTCGTTAGTCAAGTATTGTTTTACGTCCAACCGACGGATGACTAGTCCGAGGATAAGACTTTGGCTGCTGGACTCCAGAGGACGCCGTCCCAACACCGCACGCAATGTCAGGCCCCCTGAGAGTGCCTAGACGCTCCCCAGTAGAGAGAATACAGCATAATGACTCAGTGTTTACCATGAAAAAAAACATAGTCTATGAATACATTAATAAAGATTGACTATACCAAAAGAAACGAAAAAGCCGTGTCTTGAAGAATCCCATACATGAGATTTTGTCAAATTCAATCGTTTCTTTTTTGTTTCTTTCGCCTTCAAGTTTATTTTCAAAAGAAAGAAGAACATGTCATATATTTTTGAATTCATTTTTCCCACCATTAAGGTACACAAACAAAAGCTTCTCTTGTTGCTTTGCTTCGTAAAAGAAAGAAAGAAAGCAAAAAAGAAACAACCTGTATAGATGTATGCTTATATAAAGTGTTTTGATAAAGAATGAAGCATACATTTTCTTACACTACTCAGACGAGATTATTTAAGATAAGAAAAAATCCTTTTTTCAGTAAGTATGATAAATGATCTTTTGAGATTTCTTTAAAACACGATCCTTCTAGTTTATTCAATAGAAAACAAACTATGGCTCTATTCGATATCATTGGTATTACTTTCGTCGCTATCAGAGGTGCTTATAAATTGGCTGTTGCTATACGTGACTCAGAATCGATTAATGCTGAACTTAAACAAGTTGCAATGCACATGACAAATGAGTTAAACATTGTTGGAGGTACATTGGATCAGTTACAGCATTTCGCTCATCGAGCTACTGTACAAGATGAATTTCTGTTAGTTAAAAATATCAATGAGTTAAAGTCAATAATAGATGACGCTCAAAATATTTTACAAGATGTCATCCGTGATCGCAGCTTTTTCGCGCGTTTACTCATGAAAAATGATGTTTATCGACAACAACTTCGTGAGATCAGTAACCGTTTACATAATATATGTCACACTGTTGAGGGAGCAATACCTGCCATGACAAAAATTGTAATTCCATGTCGAGACTTATCAGATTTTCGAAAAACATTTCGTGATGTACCTGACAAAATACTTTCTTTACATGATTTTTCTTTTATAAAAAATACTTCAAACACAGTCGTGCCAATTACGATTGAAGAAACTGATACGACGAAATGCTCATTTTATATGAAATTAGATAATCAACAAATTATTTTAAGTTATCAACTAAGAACATGGTCAGCTTTGAATCCTAAACTAATAGTTCTTGATCAACGTCGACAAAGGTTTCAAGAACTTTGGCGTGTGAAAAAGAAACTTGAGCATCCTGGTAGTAGTCCAAGTATTGTTTTGAACTCGTCAACAAAATCATTACCAGACTTGACGATTGCACAACCCCAACCATCAACAGCAGTTGCTACAGACAATATTCCTGAAAAACTTGATTTTTCGGAATTCTTTATGTCACATGATGATATTTGTGGTATGGCATTAACACGGTCGTTTATTTATATAGCAACAAAATATGAAATAACAATTATATCATTAGATAGACAAGAAATAGTTGCTCAATTTGGTACA